TACAAAGGAGTGTGCTTACAGTGGAAATCATACACAGCGCATACTGTGAAACATCACACAGTTAGCCCTTTGATTGACCCACATGGTAACCTCTTCCTGCCTAGTGCCATTAGTACAGTGTCAGTACTTTTTATTAGCACTGATCACCGTATTGGTATCACTGGGGATGTCAGCAACACTAAGTCAGTTCCCCCCAGTGTCAGAATGCCCACTGCTGTCCCGCTATATGTCGCTGATAGCTGCCATTACTAGTGGAAAAAAAAAAATCCAGTATATATACTACCCATTTGTAAGCACTATAACTTTCATGTAAACCAATTAATTTACACATATTTAGATTTTTTTTTTTTTAGCAAAGACATAGCAGAATACAGTTTGGCCTAAATTTATGACGAAATTTGATTTTTTATTGAACATATTTAATAGCAAAAAGTCAAAAATATTGACTGTAAATTTCATTTGGGTGCAGTGGTGCATGACACTGCAATTGTCAGTTAAAGTAACGCAGTGCATAACACAAAATATGGCCTGGTCAGGAAGGGGGGGTAAAACACTGGAGGGCAAGTGGTTAATGTTCACAGAAGCCAGAAAGGATCCTCCACATCAGAAGATTCTTGCCCGCTTTGTTTTGTTGATATCAAATAGACAACTGGTAAGCAGAAATCTTGTAAATGGGGGCCATAGACAACAGAAATTAAATGTTCACAGAGGTTTTAATCCTGTCACACTATCAAATAGATAAAACAAAAAAAAAAAAGTTTTGGCTGGATGGGCTGTAAAAGGTTCTGCAAATTAAAAGTAAAAACAAACAAAATTAATCTGTGCTAAACACACATCTAAACCTATACAAAATGTGTATATCCATTCAACTAAGAAAATAAAAAGTAAATCTATTACCTATAGAACCTACATGTAAACATTTTGAATATTTCAACTTAACACTGGAGAGATCTGTCATATTTATGAATTTCTACAATGGAAATAAAGCGTTCTCAATTGCAATTACAATTCAGCTTATCTTTACTCAAAACTTATTATTTTTAAGTTCTGGAAAGAGCAGGGAAAGGTTAGACCCTCTCAAGTTTTTATTGCTGTTGTCCCAATTAGAGACATATTTGTACTGATCATTATTGTTGCAGGAAAAAAGTGAGGTAAAGAGTTGCCCCCAGAACAAAAACAGAAGGGGAAATTTCCTTTAACATCCAGCATCTCCATTTTTTTTTAAAGCCAACTATGTACAGATAGATTACTTTGGCTGAAACTTCTCAACAGCCTTGTCTGCAAATAATCTGGCAAACCACAGTGATAGCCAAGTTTGGAAGGCAAGGTGCAAACCACCTATATCAACTTGGAGACAAAGACAGCAATCCCTCAAGAACTACATGCATGTATCAATACAGTCCTCGAAAGACTGCATCTTTCTTTCAAGTATTTTAACATCAGTGTTACTATCTCCCCGCATAAAAAGATAGCAATTAGCGATACCGGGCTTGATTTTTAGGTGGTATAGTTTTAATACCAGCATGTCTTTGCTCAAAATATTCCTGTATATGGGTAGCTTTACTCTCAGATGGTTTGTTCAATGCAGGTTTCTTTCCCTATTATGTTTTCATATCAGAAATACAAATTAGACAAAGCAAACTAAGTGATCAGGTGAGGACCTAGAGTTGAACCTTCTAAACTCTTGTTGGTGTTTGCACAATAAAGCCCCTTGGGCTCTTTAGATAAATCTGAAAGAGCTGAATGCACCTGATGTAAACTCCAAATACAGAGCACAAGCAACAAAAGCATTACAGGGTTGTTTTAACTAAATTTCCAGAGATTACCAAAATAATCTCAATGTGGATTTTATCAGACACCGAATGTTCTTGGGGGTTCCTAAATGGACAACAGTATCAGAGATATCTTGAGAGCAAACAGCAGCATGCTTAATTAGCAGAATACATTTCTTAAGCAGTCCAAATAATTTTATCTTTAGTTTTTTTTTTAATCTTTTCTGCCTTTCATTAACCCATATTCTGAGGGAACTCACAACAGGAAAGCGTACCTGTAAACAAACATTCTTTTATTGTCTTTTCACTGCTCATACCATTAAAATGCTTTACAAATTTTTACTTAATTAGAAGCTGGCACACAGGCAGAAAGTGAAGGAGCATATTGCTGACGAGAACAGGAAAAGTGTGAGCCTCTTCTGAGTTGGCAGTCAGGCATTCCAACCAATCAGCTTCAAGCTTTCATTTTCAAAGCTTGAATATGCTAAGAATAGAAGCTGCTTGTTTGACATGCACAACTGCACTAGATTTTGCCATCTATTTGCCTTTAGTAAACATATTTTGTTAAAATCATCCAGCCCAATCCCCCCAGGCAAGTGGTTAAAGCCAATTTAGCAGATCATTATTGAAAGTTGCAAAAAAGAAAGTGCACCCAAAAACACTCCTTTTTACTGTACTGTAATCAAAGAAAGTACATTTTACATAATTGCAAATTACAAGTCCTTAAATATGGTGGCTGCAATTGTTTTCATATTTTTTTTTTTTAAATGATTTGTACACTTTATTTTCACCTGGTAATCGTGCTAGCAACGCTTCCTATCCTAGAATGACGATGTTCACTCACAGTACTGCATATCTATGGAGGAGCAGCATAGTCACCCTAAGCACAGGATGGGCATTAAACAAAAACATTTAACAAAAGGAGGAAGGTTTTTAGTCCACAAGAGAGAACTGGGCAGGGCCAATAAACACAGCTTGAGACCTCTGTATCAGAGGCAGAGTGCCCTGCATTTCTGGCAGGATTCACAGATATTTTTCTGTACTCACAGTGGGTTTAAAATAACAAAACAATGGGGAATTGTGCATGTACTGCATAGTTGTACTGATTCTTTGCCAAGATATACACTAAGGTTTTAATCAGGTAAAATCTGCAAATGTATAAATGAACATTACTCCACAAACAGATGTACAATATTACAAACATAACAGAAAACCTTACAAGCTTACCAAAGTGCTGTAGTGGAAATGTAACGCACAAACTCTGTAAAAGGCAAGGGATCAGATGATGCTCCGCAGCTTCGACAAACACACTAAATAAAAAACAAAAAGAAATATCATTTATAAGGCAAGGTAATAAAGACAAATATGTGTAGTCTTAAGGTGCAAAAAAAGGTTCTTACCTGTTCATAAAGAGTCATTGCAAACTTCTGATGGGTTATGCAAGACTTTGAAGTGCACATGTCACCCTCACTATTTGGCACTATATGGAAATGAATTCTTTGTAGAATGTTTTCCTGAAAGTCACAATACATAAATAAGCCAAATTTAGGAAAGAACGAAAGAAAAAGCTAGGAAAATAATTGGTATTGCACTGTTCACATTGTATCACACTTATTTAGCTATAATGAACTGGGTTTTAGATCATTTGCTATAAACTGCTAATACAAAAAGCTGTGTACCATACTTGTAATAATGAAAATAAGGTATGCTACATCCATAACACTGGTTACTGTGTTTTATAATATATCACTAAAGTGAACTTAACCTTTTCTACTACCTCTGTTCTCTGTTCATTGTGAGCCTGTCAATAGTACCAGCTTTATACACAATAGTCGAGGAGCAGATGCAAAACAGCAATTATAAGTTTTGTGTAAATTTATCCTGAGCATGTACATCAAAACCCTTTAGACTTTTTTTTTTCCCCAAACAAAACTAAGCTATACCTCTCACCTCTTAGCATTCTAATGCCAGAGCTTTTATTGGTTCCTAAGGCCCAACTGCTAGATTGTTAAATGGCTAGGGCCTAAATCCACCAAAAAGTTTTATTTCAAGTCAAAGAAATTAAAGCTTGCAGTATGTGGACAGTGGGCTAGGGATCTGGAGGGCGCCATGGCACAACAAAACTAGTTGAAGGATTTAAAAAAAAAAAAAAAAAAAAAAAAAAAAAAAAATACCAACAAGTTTGTTTCTTTTTTTTTTAATTATTGTGCATACTAGTACGCGTGAGGGTTTAACCATGTAAGAGAGACCATTGAGTATAACTGTCATCAAGTTTTATAAAAACTTAGTGCAGTGGTATTCCACCATTATATATTTTAGGTGGGCTCCCTCAGGAGTTTACACTTGTGTTTTTTTTTGTTTTTTGGAGGGAGGGGCAGTTGAGCTGCAGTTTTACCACCGTAAGGTGCGCTCCCCCCCCCCCCCCCCTTAAGCTACAAAAGGCATGCAGACAATGTTGTACATATGCCAAGACTTCTGTCTTGTTCAGCAGGCAGTATGTGGCCCATGCAAGTCAATGGAGTCCTGTGTCCCAACTGCACTGCAACCGCATACAATGCACACAAGTATGACAACAATGCAGGCCTTTTGGGGTTAACAAAATGCAGTGAGGAGGTGATATCACCACCCAGCTGTCAACCACCCCCTGAAAAGCAATCCACTGGATCCTTCTCAGATAGGCAGCAAGGGCTGCTGCATATGTAAATGAGCCCTCGTCCTCCCATCTTTGAAGGCTCAGTTATAGTAGGCAAAAATGTAATGATAATATTGGCAAATAAAAATGTATCTGGTCATCAAAGCAGTTAGCAGAACAAGATGAATGCTATATGTATAAACATTTTTGTTCTGATTGATTGCTTTATTTCCACAGTAGCACATGAAAAAGGAATCTGGCACTATGAACAGTGTCATGTATACTTAAACATGGCCAAACATCAGCAAGGCAAGTTCTGAACTCACAACAAGGCAGGTAAATCAATATTAAGACAGTTTCCCCATAAACCTCCTGAGTTTGTAATATATATTTTTACAAAACAGTTATTTGGTTACAAATCCAGTTAAAAAACTGCATTAAAAAGTAGCAAAGGACAAGTCTCTAAATACATGAGTGTACTCACAGCCACAATTATACTTTCACTGCTTGTAAATCATTGTTCAAGGATTAGTGTAAAAGCAAATGAATCAGAACATTCTACTCACAAAACATTCTGCAGCATCATCCATGAGGCCAAGCTGAAACCGGTGTTCATCTTTAAAGCTCTCCGCAAGGGCAAGCCTCATAGCATCTGATGGGAGTACTTTTTCCCGACTTGTTTGGAACTGTGCAAATAATGACTGCAGACAAATCACCGATAATAGTTATCAGCATTTACTAATATTGTAAACATCAACAAAATCCACACCCTACAAAATCTAGTCTATTTAAAAAAAAAAACTAACAATGTAAAAGCCTATGTAAAAGTATTTTTTTGTGAATTCTAATATGGATTTGAAGGTCACTAAACCCACATCATACAAAAAAACTTTCAATAAATGCTCTATCACATGCTGTTCATACTCAGTCACTATGAGATTGGTTTTCTGTATTCTGCAAAACAAAAATAAAAACTGTTGATCCTGCTGCTCTATCTCCACCTTCTGTTCACGTCCCCATTTCAGCTAGGGATTTTGCAGCTGTAGAGGCAACTCTGCACATGCTCAGTTTTCAGTACGTTTCTATGCTGAGCATTTCCTCCCAATCACATCTGAGCAGCCCATTTGAGTCACATTTGTGCGTATACACAGTGGTACATGACAGCCCACTCCCTCTCTCCTCCTCCATGCCCACTAATCAGTAAACACAATGGCGGTGGGATATTACATATAGATTAATGAAAGAATCACCTCCCTCTTATTCTAGGACACAATCCGCCCACACCATGTTATTTCCACAAAATAATAAAGATTTTATTTTATATAAATATTTGTATGCCAGTTTTTACTACTAGACAAAGGTCAGTCCATCTTGGACCACCAAACACCACTTATAACTGACAACATAAGAATTCCAGATGAAGAATCTTAAAAATGACAAATGTCACTTTATGTAATGCAGCACAAAACAGTAACTTGACATAGTAACCAACAGCAATGATATTCATTCCCTTATTTACTTCACCATCTTGACAATGCTGTCTTCATTTTTTCTGGTGGAGGGATCGTGAATATCCTTAAATGTATTTGTATATTTTTGCTATTTCCCAATAAAGACCTTTCACGCACATTGCCCTATGGTAACCATCAATAAGACATGCTTTATTTGGTTATTGAGCTATGGGTAAGTGCATCAAATTCTCTGCACTGATGCCACACAATGGGATATTACTGCTAACAAATTGAATGCAAGAGTACACAATTTTAGTTACCTTTAAAGCACAAAATATGCAGGCTTCTCCTAAACAAACATGTCCAGTCAGTCCACGTAAACTGCGTCGAAATATATCCAGCTGCCACAAAACCTGCAGAATAAACAGATTTCTGATTGAGATTTGAAAATCAAAATATGTCTGCTAGAAGGTAAAACTTAACAGAGGAACATATTTAACAAAGGTTAGATCACTACTCATTGTGAAGTGTCAGTTGTGTCTGTATTTTAGGAGAAGTTGCAATATGGTTCAACCTGGCAAGTCAGCAATTCACCTAAGGCACAGGATGCTTACAGCACTGAAATATAAAATTTCCAACTAGAAACTGGACAATGGTAACAGGTCCACATTAAGTGAAAATAAACTAAAGGATTCATTTTGTGTGGAGATTATGTTATGTTATTTGTTATTTATCCAGCCTGATGCTGACCCTCTCTCCCAGTCTGTGTTGTGTAGGAAACTTAAAGACCGTAATATAGACTTAGATTACTTGCACATATATACATAATGATTGTTAATAAATACCTTGCTGGATTAAATGATTTGCTTTTAGATCTAGGAGGCATTTAGTTCTCCAACTCCCCAATAAACCATAAATGCAGATAGGCTTGTAACAAAGAATTTAAGGAAAACACTAAACACTTTCAACTTTAATCTCATAAAGGAAAAAGGAAATGTATTATGAAGTCAATTGGAGTTCAAAACCATTTCCTTCCTTGTCTGAAAGGTCCCTTAGTGCCTTTAATCAACAATTCAGTTTGTGTGTGGAAAAGAAACATTTTTATACTGGACGACAACAGACCTTTTCAACACCTAACTTAATATGACTTAAAATGTACAAGGAAAATCCTACTACACACTTCCCAATGAACAGAGCAGATCTGTGAATTCCAATAATAAAAAAAACATGTCCATTTCTACATTTTGCTTGCTAACAATAGTACAATGCCAACAATTACAAACTGACATACACTCACAGGCCACTTTATTAGTTACACCTTGCCAGTGCCAAGAAAATATCCCCTACATCATTACACCACCACAAGCCTCAACTGTTGATACAAAGCAGGATGGATCCATGCTGTTTACGCCAAATTCTGACCCTACCATCTGAATGTCACAACAACCAATCTGCCCATTCTTCTCTGACATCAACCAGGCATTTTCATTCACGCAACTGCAGCTCACTGGATATTTTCTCTTTTTTTGGACCATTCTCTGTAAACCATAAAGATGGTTGTGTGTGAAAATCGCAGTAGATCAGCAGTTTTTTAAATACTCAGACCAGACCACCTGGCACCAACAACCATGCCACATTCAAAGTCACTTAAATTGCTTTTCTTCCTCATTCTGATGCTCAGTTTGAACTTCAGTAAGTTGTCTTCCCCACGTCTAGATGCTTAAATGCATTGAGTTGCTGCCATGTGATTGGCAGATTAGCAATTTGTGTTACTAAACAATTGAAGAGGTGTACATATAGCTACACAGCAGATTTTAGAACTTTAATGTCACTTCTAAAATTGCTAGTTAATAATCACCAAGTGGCCAGTTATAAAGGCAGCTGCTTGGCTTTATCAAATCCATTCCATTACTTAAAGAGGTTGCAAACTCTGTTTATTTTCCTTAAAAAAAAAAAAAAAAAAAAAAAATATGGTCATACCTGCTCTGTGCAAGGGTATTACACAAAGCTGCCCCGAACCTGGTCTTCTGGTCTACCAGCTAGGCTCCGCCTCTTCATTTGCTACCACAAGAAGCTGCTTCCTATGGTGGCACACCAGCAGGCTTGCAAACGAGCCAGGCTTTGTTTGCCCATTGACAGGCACAGCGAGGCTCAACCCAGCCCCTGATCTCTCCTCACAGGGTTTGACTGACAACAACAGAAGCCAGTGATTCCCGCTGCTCTGAGCCAAGCCTGTGAGAGAGGGAAGAAAAGACCTGCAGACAGGCACAACACTGAATCGATACAGGACTCAGCTATTTTGGAAGGTTGGGAACAGCTACTGACCACTTTAAAGTAGACATGCCATAGAAAATGGACCCCCTGCTCCCCAAACACAAAACCTTTGTTCAAGAAAAATGTCAACAATGAACCTATAAAAGAATTCAGATCAGTTTTCATTTTAAATACATGCTTTTAACATTCGTCACACACACTCACGGAGACCTGCATTTTAGAGATAGTAAAACCAGGCAGTTGAGACACGTTTTTACTGCCCTCAGCCTTCAACCCTTAATCTGCAAAGGTAGCTGGATCAGGGAGTATATGTCACAGCAAAAAATATCCCCTCAGTCACACCTGTTTGCACCATGGTGGTGCTGCATTCACAGTGTTAAAACAGGTGGCAAGTAGGCGGCATATTGCCTCCTCACTGCTTGTCAAAAGCCTCTGAAAAGTGATTCCATCACTGATCAATTTTCAGAGAAGATAACAGCCATACATCTAAACATAGACTGAGGGATTACTATAGCACTAAGAATTACCTAAAGAGAGAAAAGCAGAGGATCTTTGTCTTCTGGTCCACTCTGTCTGACAGACAAACTCATGGCTGCTACAGTCCATCCTAGGTGCTCAGGACTGTCATGGTAGGAATCAGCCAAAAGTGGAGGGAGATGAGCAAACATCCATCTGCTGATCTCTCCTGTGAAGAATGACACCACTTCCCCGAACCAAACATGTCGATCAGGAATTCTGACTTGACCGTGATTTGCATGCTTTTCAAGATCAGTGACTCAAGATATAAAAGATATAAAAAAAAAAAAAAATATTAAAAAGATATAAAAGACAGAAATTAGCATTTCCTGCATCAATGGCATGCATTCTCCTAGATGTTTTCTTCAAAAATGTATTGGTCCCAACAATAATAGTATTTTCATGAGCATTAATGCCCTCCAATGACCAAGGATTCTATCCGGCATAACAGAAAAAAAAAAATTTTTTTTTCTATTAACTAACCATTTAATTACCATTTGGTGAGTTTACATAGAAAATGATTTTCTAGCATGACAAATCATTGCTACCATAATTGTTGCAATTATGTTACAAAGATCACTAGGCTGTCTAGACAAAAGGAGCTGGTTAGCACCAGCTGTAAGTAGTGCAAGAAAAACGTAGCTGCGCTGATTTATCACTATTGCTATGCAGCTCTGTGCATATTTCAGAATGTGTCATTTTACAAAAGTTTCTTATAGGAATCATTCAAAATAATACATTTTACACTTTAGAAAAAAGAAAAAAAATTGTCACCATGTGAAAAACTTGAGAGAATATACCATGCATGCCATCTGCAATATATGTCAATGGCCCTGGGCACAACAGATGGATTTTATTCTGCATGGCCATGTTCAAGAGCCCTAAGGCCAGATGCACATCTGAATTGCACAGAAACGATGTCCACATTCCTGTGCATTCTGATTCAGTGCAATTTTGCAGACCATTCATTTTGAATAATTCAATAACTCAACGTACCAAATGCCATGTGATCCGATGCCCGAAATCACATTGCATATGGGTTACCATTAAAATTACACTGGTGCCAACAACAGACCACAGAGGTAGTGCATTTTGAGTATGGTGTGGGACTTTTCCCACACCACATTCTGGTGTGAAACAGCCTTTAAAACACAAAATAAATACCAAGTTCCTTTTTTTTATCATCATGAGGTGTTAGTATGATGGGCCATAATACTACAATACAATTTCCAGTTCCCACCAACGCAACAAATTAGGGGTCGGTTTCACACCAGAACATGGTGCAGGAAAGGCGCATTGCATGCACCACGTTCAAAATGCACTGCCTTTGTGATCTGCTGCATGTGCCTATGTAATGTTAATGCCACCCCAAATGCAGATCACAGACAGTGCATTTGCAGACAGCAGGTCCCACAATACTGCAGTAAAATGCAATTCGGTGCAGAGTGTTTATGAAAGTTAGTGCATGGACTACTTTTCTGCATTTCGGTGCAATTTGCAGCCCATTCACATGAATTGTGCACGTTCCTGTGCGACTTACAGTTGTGTCCAAAATTATTCAACCCCCACTGAAATTGAGTGTTTTGGCCAGTTTGACATTGCTTTTGATCATTCAGTCATCTTGCTTACATTTACATTAAAGAGGCACTTGTAGGTCAGACAAATATAACATAACAGTTATAATGAAATAACCACAAATGTCTTTTCTGTGCTCACAGCATTATCAGTTTTATTCAACCCCCAAGTACATTCAATCTTAGTACTTAGTACAGCATCCTTTTACAGTTATACACAGCTTTTAAACGTGAAGCATAGCTTGATGTCTTGCAGCGATCTACGGGTATCTTCGCCCATTCTTCATGGGCAAAGGCCTCCAGTTCAGTCACAATTCTTAGGCTTGCGCACTGCAACTGCTTTCTTTAAGTCCCACCAGAGGTTCTCAATCGGATTTAAGTCTGGTGACTGCGATGGCCACTCCAAAATGTTCCAGCCTTTCCTCTGCAACCATGCTCTAGTGGACTTGGAGGTATGCTTGGGATCATTGTCCTGTTGAAAGGTCCAACGTCTCCCAAGCCTCAGGTGTGTGACGGACTGCATCACGTTTCCATCCAATATCTCCTGGTACTGAAGAGAATTCATGGTACCTTGCACACGCTGAAGCTTCCCTGTACCTGCAGAAGCAAAACAAAAGCATGATTGACCCTCCACCATGCTTCACTTTGTTCTTTTCATCATAGGCCTTGTTCTTCCTCCTCCAAACATAGCGTTGATCCATGGGCCCAAACAGTTCTAATTTTGTTTCATCAGTCCACAGAACACTATCCCACAACTTTTGTGGTTTGTCCACATGGCTTTTGGCATACTGCAGTCGACTCTTCTTATTCTTTGGAGACAGCAAGGGGGTACGCCTGGGAGTTCTGGCACGGAGGCCTTCATTACGCAGTGTGCGTCTTATTGTCTGGGCTGAAACTTCTGTACCCACATCTGACAAATCTTTTCTCAGTTCCTCAGCAGTCACACGGGGACTTCTCTCCACTCTACGCTTCAGGTAGCGCACAGCAGTCGAAGTCAGCATCTTCTTTCTGCCACGACCAGGTAGCGTTTCAACAGTGCCCTTTGCCTT